ATTTTTTAAAATAGACTTTATTTTTTAGAGCAGTTTTCTTTTTTTTAATCTTTCATTTTACTCTAATCCTGTGACAGGTTATAGAGCAGTTTTCTACGCACAGCAAGACTCAGCAGAAAGTACAGAGTTCCTCTCTATCCCCAGCCCTGCCCCCGGCCACCCCCACCATCAACATCCGGCACCAGAGTGGCACAGTTGTCACAGTGGATGCACCTGCGGTGACACATCATTACCACGCAGAGTCGGTAGTTTACATTAGGGTTCCCTCTTGGTGCTGTACATTCTATGGGTTTGGACGAATGTCAAATGACATATATCCACCATTACAATATCATGAAAAATAGTTTCGCTGCCTTAAAAATCCTCCAGCACTGTCTTTTGATCCTCCCCCCAGCATTCGATGTCCCACTTCACAGAATGAGTCAGGCAGGTCCTGAGAGTACGTGACTGGCTCAAGTTCACCCAGGCCCTGAGGACCGGAGCCTGCTTGAAAGGAGCTGGGGATGCGCGGACTCTGTGGGCAGCGGGCTGGCCTCTGCGCTGTGCTTCCTCCCTTCTGAGAGTCAGGAGGCCTTGGGCCACACTCCACGCTCAGCAGCAAGGACAGGGCCAAAGCCTGGGGCTGAGCTGTGAGGTCCCTGGGAACCGCATGGGAGTACACTTTGTCCTGTGCTCACCAGACGGTACCAGGCAAAGTCATTGGAAATCGGCTTGCGTTTGAGCAGCTGCTATTACTTTTACATGACAGTAAAACTAGTGAATTATAGGGAATTTTCAAGATAATAAAATGCATATTTATCCCTTGTTGTGTATATATATTTTCGTTCACAAGTCCCCTGTTCATCTGGAATTTCAATTAACTGCTATTTTTCTCATATATTCTATCATGCTTAGCTAACCCAACCTTTCTTGGCAATTTCCAGAACTACAAAATAACAATAGATTTGCCCACAAGTAGAGAATGTGCTGCGTTCACACCGAGATGTATCTGTTGGGGGTTATACTACAGCGCCTTCAAAAAATTAAAAATATATATATCAAATCAACAGTACAGATCATCTGAGTCCTTCCAAAATACATAATTAGGAATTTGGTATTTTTTTTTCCCTCCCTGATAATTGACATATTTTATCTGCTTTACCCTGTATTGCTATGGGTTTAAGCTATGTTTACTGAAATTGTTTCTGCTAAGAAAAGTTTTAATAGGAAGGTTGGGAAAATCCCCTCTGAGCACAATTGAGATGTCGAGTCCAAAATATGTTCATGTATTTGGGCTCAAAAGATGGGGACAGAGGTGTCTTCAAATATTCTCCGAATTTTTCTAAAACATAGCAAATGGTAAGAAATGAACACCATGTGTGATGCTTAAGACCTCAGCCTAGAGCATCAACCCTTACATTTTCTAAGGATTTGGAATTCTTTTCAGGAATCAATTTAAAATGACTCATAATTCAACTGAAAACAGTTGAAGGATTACATGTATAGATGCTCCCATTTCCAGCTTTTTATCGCTGCTCTCAGTGTTTTTGAGATGACAATTTTCCTTTCATAGAACCAGCTTAAAATTAGAAAAATCAAACACCCATTAGAGAAAGCAGATTTACTCTGCTATTAATTGATAATGGAGATGTAAAGCTCCCGTCATCTGGGCGAGAGCCCAGTGCGTCCCCTGCGGACATTTGCAGGGGCCATGAGCTGGGTCATCACCAGCTCATTGGGCCTAAGCCGGAGTCGTCTGCCTTCATGAGCTGAGCCTTGAATTTTCAGCGCCAGGGATGCGCGGCGCTGGGGGAGTCATTGCGGCCTCTGCAATCACATCTGCACACGAGTCTTGGGGTGTGAATGTTACTCTCTTCCCACTTTACTTTTTAAAACATGAGCAACCTTGAAAGTTGAACTCCCTACTCTGAACTGGCTTTTGTCTGCCCTGCTGGACAGGAGGCAAAGTAGCACCACTATTTCGTAACCAGAAGATTCTTCTAGGGAATGCAGACTCGGTGGCTGTGTGTATCAAATACCGAGAGAAGGAGCTCTGAAGACTGCAGAATTGTCTCCTTGCAGAGGCTGGAGGCAACCCAGGCGGGGGAAGGGAGGGCGGGATGTTGAAATATGACCCGGCGGTTTTAACTTTAAATAAGCATTTCGGTCCTAGTAGAAGCCCCTCTGATGTCTCCTGCAGCTTTGATTTTGGAACACGTCACATTCCTCATTAAAGCAATCACTGTTAAAACATAAAGCAACACAGGATTTATTTCTTCATTAAACTGATGATCCGTATATGAAGCCAATTAACATTATGAGTCTGGTGAACATCAAGTGTAAAGAGGTTAGAGAAAATTAAAAGCAGTCACCTTGGTCTTTAGATAAAGAAAGTACACTTTTAGGTAGTAAATTATCAGAGTGTCCAAGCGGGACAGATCGGCGAATTTGGTTAATTGGAAAACACATTTTACCGCACAAGAACTAAGGAAAAATAACCTTTTTGTTTCTAACGCCCTTTTTGGGGGAGGAGGACCATAGCTAATACCTGTTAGTCACCTTTTTCCAGGCCCGAGGGTCGGAGACAATCGGAAAAAAAGGGGGAGCTGGCGTCATCAAAGTTTGCTGTAGCCTTTCGTGCCTAAGGTTTTTGGTTGTTTATTCGCTGTTTTGCCAACAGGAAAGAGCCTGGCCTCGCGGCTGCGGGACAGGAACGTCGGGACAGGCGAGGCGCGGTCCGGAGCTGGCGTAGAGCCCGCGCCAGGTGGGTGTTTTCGCGGGACTCGGCCGCTTGTCCGGAGAGGCGACCAGGCTCGCGTCGGGGGCCGCGGGGTAGGAGCCGCGCGTGGGGTCGCGGAGAGGAGATTCGGTCCCTGCTGCGAGCGTGAGCGCGGGTCCCAAGTCACTTTCTCAGATTTGGACCGGGAGGGGATGGGGTCGGTCCCCGAACGCCCGGGCTCCGGCCCAGTGGGTCTCACTCCGGAGCAGCGCAGGGCCCCAGTTGGGCCCTCGGGACCGGCTGCTTTCCGGGTTGCGGCCGGGGGTGGGATGGGGCGGGGACACGGCACCGCTGTCCAGGGTTCTGACCGGCCGGGATGCCCGGGGAGCGCGCTGTCCTCAGACCCAGGACGGGCCTGTCTAGTCCCCGCGGCATCTCTGGGCCTTGATGGGAACCTGCTTCGGTCGGTGTCAGGGACAGGGAGCCGAGGCCGGGGCTCGGGCCTCACTGGTTTCTGGGGCCGACGCAGCGCCCGGCGCCGGGCTTCTGGTGCTGAGGGTTCCCGCACGGACGCCCCGGCGCGCCTGGGGCCCTTCGGCGAAGCTGGCTGGCTGCTCTTCGCCCGCTTCTCGGCCCCGGCCCTGGAGCGCACAGGGCGCGCAGGCAGCCAGCTGCCGCCTGGGGCCGGAGGGAAACTCGGGGGGCTTTTGGAAGACCCAGGGGGGCAAGGAGAGCCTTTGGCCCTTGAAAAGCGCGGGTCCTCCGAGGGAGACGGGGAGACAGAGCCAGCGCGCGGGAGCCTGCCTCTCCACCTGGGCTAAGCACGGTGGGCTCCAGCCCTCTGCAGGGAGCCGCGGCGCTCCCTGCTCCCCGGCCCCGGCCTCCGCGCACCCGCCTCCCGGACCCGCGGTCCTGCTCCTCCCGAGCCAGCGCCGGACGCGCGGAGTCGTGGCCCCGGCGGAGCTGTCGCCGCGGGCTCTCTCCGCTGTCAACTGAGCCGGAGTTTCCAGCGGTTCCGCCCTCGCGGCGGGGCCGACTCCCCGCGTCGGGGCGACGGAGCTCAGGAGCGGCCGCTTAGTGAAACCGGCCTGACTTGCCTCGACCCGAGCGATGCCTCCTCGTCCTCCAGTCTGGTTTCCGAGGGGCGTCCACCGGCGGGCCGGGGCCCAGCACTCTCGCTCCAGCTCCACGCTCCTCACCCGGGCGGGTGTCCGCGAGTGGGCCGGCCAGGCCTTTTGTTTCCAAGGTGCTGTGTCTTTAAGATCGTCTGGATCCCGGGCTGTGCAGGGACCCGACCCACCACCTCGCCAAGGCTCCCGAACGCAGCATTAGAATGTTTATAAAATATTCAATTTATGTAGTCTGTCCAAGAAGCCATAGTCCCAAAATAAAATCAGCAGTCTAGACGGAACACAGACACCAGAACTTATCAACAGTTGTCTGACTTGCATCTTCTGATGCATCTTGAGTGGGTCATAATACCAACTTTATTTTCAGTGGTGCATAAATTAATTACACGCATTTAATAACCAAAATATCATTATATTCCCCCTTTAATATCATAAAGGCTTTCCGCCAGGGAAGCACTTAATAGTGCAGGGGGCCGTAACGGGCTATTATCCTGGTGTAATGCTATTACAGAACCAATTATGCGCCATTAGACTTGCTTTTTTTGCAGTTTATGTGATTTGATCCAATCCCGCGCCCCTGACTTGAAAATTTCAGCCCGGTACTTTAGAGTTTAATTTTCGCCCAGGCAGAGAGAAGGGCGGTCTCTCTCCGTTGAGTGTCTGCCTCGGATGCATTTTAAAAGTAATTGCGAGAGGTCCCACCGCATATCATTTGCATCAAGAAGCGAACATAAATTCAGGGACCCCTTGCTGAGAACAAAATCAAACTTTCCTTTTGTACTATCGCTTGGAAAGGAAAGCCGTGTGCAAAGAGTCCCCCCAAAACCCATCCGGCGTGACAATTAGCAGCGCTTTGTCAATTCGCAGCCCGGGAATCGCCAGGCCTTGAACAAGGGCGGAACAAACCCAGGCTCTCCCGCAGAAAGGTGGTTTGCGTCTGAGGGGACCTGGGGTGCGTGGGGGTGGGGCCGAGTGTTCAGAAAATAGTCTTTTTTGGGGGGTGATGGCGGTTGTTTCTATTCTCTTTTAAAAGACAAGAGGAAAAACATTCCTGATGTTTGCTGAGAAATGACGGATTTTTTTTTTACACCACGTGGGCCATTTGTAAGGCCCAATAGACCTATCCAAGTTACTCGCTGTAGACAGCGCTGGAAATAATCAGATTAAGGCCAATTATGCGTGAGATTATAAAGGCGAGTGCTGAGCGGCGGCGCGCGCTGTAGACAGACAGCAAGACATCTGGCCACTTCCCGAGTCACTTCTATAGTCCTGCGGGCGCCAGCCGGGCCGAGCCCCGCCCGCCGCCAGCCCAGCCCCGCGTGCGGACCGGAGGCGGTCGCGCTCGGCCTCCTCGCCCGCCACCCGCCGAGGTACGCGCGGCTCCCGACCCGCTCCCTGGGCCGCTCGCGCCTGGCCTTGGGTCTAGGCTGCCTTCCTGGCCTGAGCTGCCCGCACGGATGGCCTTGCGCGCTTGCCGGACCGGCTGCGGTGGCCGGGGTGCAGGCTTGCTCGGGGACCCACGAGAGCTGGGAACCACAGCACGCGGGTTTGGTGTTGGGGCCAGGGTGAGGGCTGTCTGGAGGTGGACCCACTGGAAGGGCTGCCCTGTGGGGTCCTGGCTTGGGACCGTGCTGCCGCCTCGCTCCTGTCCCTGCAGCGCGCTGTGGGCGGTAGGAGGGGGCTTTCCGGGAGGGGAGAGCCCGGTGCGCCCCAGGGCCGGCGGGAGCGCTGGCAAAGGGGAGACTTAAGCTCTGTCGCTGTTCGCTTTACAGCCAGGCCGGAGCCACACGCGCTTGTCGGTCCCGCGGCTACCCTCTCAAGTCGCAGGCGTCCAGCCCACCCTGCCGTCCGCGATGTTTTATTTCCACTGCCCGCCACAGCTAGAGGGTGAGTAAGCGCCGCGCCTGGGGTGCTTGGCGAGGCCGGACCTGGCCAGAAAGGGCTGGAGTGGCTGCAGGGCTGCCGCGTGGTGTGGTGGGGGGTCCTGTCCCGCGAGGGGTGCAGCCTCCTGGCTGTGAGTAGGGGCGCCCCTGGCCTCCTCTCCAGACCCCGCTCCAGCCAACCCCCTCGCCCCATCACCACCTGCCTCCCACCCCAGTCCCCGATTGGGCCAGGGTGCCGGGGGCTATGCGTGCTGCTGGGACCAGCCGGGTCCTCCCAGCACAGATGCTGGTGTCACGCCTCTAATCGGCGCTCCCCAGCCCAGGGGGCTGCATCAATCTTCCACGGTGTTTTCGCAAACATCCCAGAAAGCCAAGGCAGAGAAGGACCCATTGCTGGGCTGCTCTTGCCGGGGGCAGTTGGTGACAGTGCTCCAGGGGACGCGCCTGCAATTCTGCGGAGTTCAGCCTCTGTCCCTGACCTCCTCCTAACTGTCGCTGGGGCCAGGTGGGGTCCTGCCCACCACCTGCCCCAGTGCCCTGGCATGGCTCCTCCTCTGTGAATCGGTGGGTTTCTGACCCCAAACGTCAACCACTCCCCACTCCCCGCAGCCAGGGTTTCCATCTCTGAGGGTCTCCAAGCCTTTGAAGTAATTTCCCCTCAAGATCCTGTCTGGTCTCTGCTCCCACGTGTTATGTGGGAGTGGGGTGGTAAGACGGGGACAGCTTGGCCCTCTGGATGCCCCTTCCCAGGGCCTGTGGGATCCAAGGGTGTGTCCTCCACGTGAGGGGGCAGTTCGTATCCGTCAGGCAGATGTGCAGCCCCACAGGCTGGGCTTTAACAGTGACTTCTTCGGACCAGTAGTCTCAGCCCGGGGACATTAGGACTTTTGTAACCGTGGCAGTAATATCAGGACCGAGCTTTGGCAACCCACTCCTCTGATTTATTCCTGCCGTGGGAGAATTTTGGAGGCCAAGTAACTGAGGGAGGCATGGGGCAGGGCAAAAGGTGATGAGACCCTGAGGGACCCTGAGGGACCTGAGGCACTCAAGGATGCTTGTCCGCTTTGCCCCGGGCTGCCGTGAGCAGCAGCCGAGCCTCAGCTGGCTGACGCAGAGAGGAATTTCAGAATGTTTGTTTTTGTTTTTCCCAAAAGCTCTCAAGAGTCCAGCAGTATTTTCTAAAGGAGGTTAAGGAGGGCCAGTGTTTAAGTCCTGCTAGCTCTGCCGTCCTTCTTAGCAATGCCACACGCTTACTTGCATTTTACCTCCTTTTGCCCCCAAGGATCCACACAGGGTGGAGTCTGTGAAAAGGTGGGAGAGGTGCATCCCCTGACACTGTATCCCCGGACAGCATGGTGGGCACACCTTCTCTGTGCTTCTGAGCCTGGGGTCTGCGCTGATTGCCACCTGGTGGTCCACCTTTGTGGTCAAAGTGGGGAAGGTAGAGGTTTGGGCATTTAGCAGGTAGTGGACTTCATGGGTGACTTAAGGGGAAAGCTGTCTGTAGGGTGGGTTGCCGAAGTGACTTAGGGAGAGTCCCAGCCCAGCGTGCTGTGGCCCCAGCTCTCGGCTCAGCCCGGTGGGCTTACCTTTCCTCCCCGTGCCCTGGGCTCATCCTGTCTCCACACTGACTAGGACCGACATGACCCGAAGAGAAGGAGATGGGTCTTTAAGAACTTTCCATCCTTTGTAGATGTGTTTGTTTGCCAGCATTGCCGGAAGGGGTGTTTTGGTTTAGTTTGGTGTTGCTGAAGTGAAAGTGATCTCTTGCTTGAGAACAGACCTTTGGAATATGACATCTTATTACAGTCTACCACCTTTTGAATTTTATTTTTTTGTTAATCTAGAGAGGCATAAAGGAGAAAGCAAAGCACAGCTTGTAATCTCACGTCTCAGATAATTTTGCAGATATTAAATCAAAAAGTACTAATCGTACCTGCCTGAGAAGTTTGAATACAACAGAAACTTACACACTGAAAAGTAAACTCCTCCTTCTCCACCTCTTTTTCTAAAAGTACTTGCTGTTGTTGGTTTTTCATGATTCCTTCTAGAAAAACATGTTTTTATTCCATTTATGTATCTTTGTGCATATTTTATGCTTTATTTTCACTGAGATTACATTGACACATCATTCTGTACTTCGCTTTTCTTACTTCATAATACATCTTGGAAATTTTTCCATGTCAGTGTGTGCGGATCTACTGATTTCTTTTAAACAGCTGTGTAGTATTCCACTATATGTTGTGCAGAAAGTGTCTATTGATGGGTATTTTGGTTGTTTCTATTTTCTTCCAATTACAGTGTTTCTGGAACACTGTATTTCCAGAACACTTTCCATTTGACACACTTTACAAGTGTGTTCCTGGATTGAATAGCTGTATGTGCACTCACATTTTTGATGGATGTTGTCAGATTGCCTTCTAATAAGGCTCCTCCAGTGATGCTCCTACAAATGGTGAAAGAGCACGCAGGGGTTATAACACTCTCATCCGTTCTGGTTTTTGTTATGCACCTCATTTCTTTTTGCCAAAGTGGTGAAAACCGTATTTCATTGTTCTGTGTGTTTTGTTTAATTATTATTGACCATTCTACTTATTTTTAAGTAAAAAGCCTGTACTCATCTTTTTTATATTAGGTTGCCGATCTTTTCTTCTTATTAATTTGATAAACTGTCGGCGTCTTTTAGGATTCAGTTTGACGTGCAGTGTTCCGCTTAAAGATCTTGTGTGTGCGTGTCGTGGAACGATTTGGGACAGTGAGGTGTGTGTTAAAAGACCGAGGAAGGTTGTGATCGGAGATCCGCAGAGATTACTTTCTATCCTCACCGGTCCAGTGCTTTGTTTCAGAAGGAGACAGTTTGGTTTCCTGCAAAGTAACGGAAGTAAGACTGCTTTGACGCCATTCCTTTTAAGTTTCCAGTGAGCTGCAGAGAAACATCTGTAACTAGGGTTTTGAGGAACAGTGCAGTGTGGACAGGACGATGGAGGGACGAGGGCTTTAGCAGAGAGTGGGGGTATTGTGGCAAAGGATGTGGCCCTGGAGGGTAAAATTACAACTAGGAGGGACTTCCTTTAGTAGACAGGATTTTAAAAAGCCGGAAGGACTTTGCTTCTTTGGGACTGAGGTCCTCCTGAGGATGCTGTCTGGGCAGCGTGGCTTGAGAACCAGTGCTGAGCGTGCAGCGATTCTGACAGCAGAGCCCATGGCAGGTAAAGCATTCACTGGTAATGACAACTTGCTCATTTGTTTTCCTAAGAAGCCATTGTGGACTATCAAATAAATAGTGCACATTTGGAAAATGATCTGAATGCACGTTTGGGGCTAAACTCTGTTCTGGCTTTATAGCGTGCTTTGGAGGCTGCTGGGAAGGACAATGCCTTTCTTTCCTAGGGAAGCGGAAGCAGTGGGTGCTTTCTAAGGCCTGGCCAGAGGGTGGGGTGCCCTCTGAGAGTGGCCTTGTTCAGTCTGCTCGGCATTCAGGACAGTCGCTATCGGCGCAGATCTCTTGTTAATTGACATCTATATAACAGATCCACTATGGCGCTGATGAGCTGTGACCGACGGTAATTAATATTCATTTATAAACTTCTTACATCTTCGTGTTCTGCTCTTCTAGGAGAAAAGTGCTCTGAAAAGTTCTTGGTGTTTTCTCTCCTCCCCTAGTCCTCTCCAACCCCCAGCTTTTAACACCCATTGTTTATAGAAAAAAGGGACAGTGCATTTTGTCAGGTGAGCACAGGGAGGGTGGAGGATCTGAGGCAGGGGGTGAGAGAGGCATGGTAAACAGGGGTGCAGTGGGGAGCCAAGGGCAGATGAAGGCTGTGCCTCAGCCAGGGACCCTTCCCAGCTTGGAGTCCAGAATTTCACAAGATGTAGACTCGGCCATCTCGGGGATCAAGGTTGCCTTCTGCCCCAGGCAATAGGGATAGCTGGGCCTGAAGTCAAAGGTTTTGGGGAGAGAGTAGAAAAGAAGGGGCATTGACAAAGAAAGACACTTTGGGACCGCCAGGGCCGCCTATCTGGGGGCACGGCTTAGCATCCCCCGAATGAGCGTCGAGGCTGGGCCACTGCAGGGGGGCTCTCGGCCGGGCTGACCCGGTTTGCTCCTGCAGGCACTGCACCCTTCGGCAACCACTCTTCAGGGGATTTCGATGATGGGTTTCTGCGTAGAAAACAGCGCCGGAACCGGACGACGTTCACTCTTCAGCAGGTAACAATGTGGATTCTCTTCCTGAGAATCAGCTGCTTCCTACTCCTGGAAAATCAGAATTGAGCATCTCTGCCTCGTCTTTTAAGATAAGGCCAACTGATTATGTTAACTGGATCTTTCTGTTTTCTTGAACAATTTATATGTCAAGGAATCTGTCTGGAGGGAGGGCTGATGGCTTTGACCTTGTGATCCCAGATAGTAAGTGAAGGGGCACAATGATCTCTCTCATTTGCCTTAGATTGGCAATTCGGGGCACATTTGCATGTCAGCAATGTCATTTGAACTTTACAATAATCCTTGGAGGAAGGCAGGTCAGACATTCTTATCCCTAGCCAGCAGGTAGATGAGGAAACCAGAGCCCAGCAAGTTGGCTGACTTGTACATGGTGTTGCCCATAAGCGAAGGGCTGCAACTGGAATCTTGCTAGTGTTTCCCAGAGCCGGGCTCTTTCCTTAGATCAGCCTCTGTCTTACTCCTGGAGCAGACTGCAGCAGGTGGGAAGCAGTGGGAAGGTGACCCCGTTACCCCTACGAGGTCTCCGTGGGGAGACACAGCTGCAGGTGGTTTCCACTCCTACGTCCTGTGGAGGGAAGCTACACGAATTACTCTAACTGTTCAGAAGGCCGCCCTTAGATTTCTGGATCCCTGTGACAATATTTACATGTAAATGCACACAAATATTTGTACTATTCATACCTCTCTTCTTATTTCTGCTTCTTGGAGGGACATCGAGGTTGTTAGTAAATCATAGCTCTTAAGTCATCCTTGGTTGAAATTCTCACTGTGTGGGATCCTTTCAAAGAGCTCTTTTCTCCCTCTCCTTCCTCAGTTTGATCTGTGAAACTGCTTCCTCACCACTCACGGCAGATTTGAAATATGCATCTGCTTCCCCTCACCCAGCCGCAGCCTCTCACCAGTAAATATTTTTTCCTTTTACCAGCTGGAAGCTCTTGAGGCCGTTTTTGCCCAAACGCACTACCCAGATGTCTTCACCAGAGAAGAGCTGGCCATGAAAATAAACCTCACAGAAGCCAGAGTGCAGGTAAACATTCTTTTTAATTATTTAACTCTCTAATATTAAAACTGGCAAACTTTTTTTTTGACATCATGACTGCAGAGTGCACATTTGGCCAAAGAAAGCAAATGAAGACTATCTGTCATTTTCATGATGCACTTTAATAACATCAACATAATGTGGAATATTAGATTAGGTTGATTAATCGGTCATTCATAATTAACTAGTGATAATGTTCTACACTAATTTGTCCGCGTCTCTAAGGTACTAAATTACATCAATGCACATCCATTTCCTTGCTTTGGAAAAAAAAAAAAAAAAAGAAAAGAGCTGAGATGCTATTCTCAAAGCAGCTCTGACCGCTCCGGGGTAAGGCCGGTCAATTGCAGAGAACGGCGTTTTCAGATGGGAGGCAGGGTAGGATCTGCTTTCCAGAAATTGCATCATGACCAACTTTTCCCCTGCACTCGGACTCCTTCAGCAAAGTGGACCCAAAGAACTCACGCAATTTAAAAATCTTTAAACGGCAGCAGCGATAGGGCTGCCTCAGAGATGAGCACGGCCCGTGGTGACCGTCTCTAAGCAGGATTTCGTTTTAGAGGCTGCACGGTGATTATGTTTGCCGCACAAACACGCCGAGCCCGGCAGATGTGCCTGAGCGCGAGAGGAACGGATTCTCAGTGCCGCCTCTCCGGGCGAGCTATTCTTCGAGCACAATTATATATTCATTTTATTTATGGGGTTTCCTCCATGCTGTTTCTGTTCTTTTTTATGTAGGGGCTTGGGGTTAAGACTATGCAAAGATCTAATTGTAGGAAATATAATAGTTTGCTTTCGGTTCCCCTGGGTCATGTTAGTATCTCTTAAAAACCAATGGCTGAAAAGAGATAATGGAATTCTGAGCAGTAAATTGGGGGTTGTAAACAAATTATTTCCCCTATAATCAGATTATGTGATCCTGATTATTAAATCTGAACATGAATCATTGGTCATATGCGGGCAAATTAAACTGATTATTATTTGGAAATGAAAATCTCCTTTGGCCAGGATACCGTCTATCCTTTCTTTTTTTAATGCCAGCTTGCCAATAGCTGCCTAAAGACTGAACTGCAAATTGAGATAAATGACACAATTATTGAGCATTCAGAAGTGGAAGATCATAACTTCTCCCTGAAAGGTGCAAGGGTAAGATAGGGGTGGTGACAATTAAAGCTGGGAATTGTTGTTCAGGCTGTTGTTGGCTATTATGCAGACAGACAATGGCCGCGGAGCGTTTGTTTAGCGAGCCTCGGTGTGGGGACGCGGGCTTTGGTGGCGGGAAGGGAGATGTGTTTACATTTATACCCCTTGCTCATTCAAATATGATTAATGTTCTATGAAGCAGGGTCTTAATCGAAGCTGATGTTGTCAAACAATAACTAAATAGGGAAATAAACGACTCCATCATGCTCTTTCCTCAGAAGCAGGCGAACTGTCAGTGCAAAGTCATTAAAATATGATAATGAAAAATAGCTCAATTAAATGTTGTTATAGCTGTGACCTTCATTCAATTAAGACGCAAGAAAGTGTCTGCATTTTGCTTTGTATTTAACTGCCTTAAATTTAGAATATAGATAAAATCATTATTCAATGGTTGCTGATATGTGCAATTAAAAGCCAACTAGATTAAAAAAGAAAGAAAGAAACTCAGTTAAAGGGGAATGAAAAGTAGGAGACAGGGTGGGCTGGCAGAGGGCTCGGCCTCACGGACCCAGGCTGCCCTCCTGCCGGCTGGTGTGTAGGCAGCAGGGGGAGGAGGAGAGGATGCCTGGGGGAAGAGGAGGGAGGTCTAGCCAAGCCCTTTTTTTAGCCAGAAATTATCTCCCAGGAGAGGAGGGAAGAGGTTTTGCCGGATAAAGAACAGCAGAATTTCACTGACCTCTGGGAGCACCTTGAGCCGGGGCTGCCTGCCCCTGTGAGGCTGTCCTCCTGCAAACGCAGTTTTAGTTTCCAAGGCTTAAAGAATCCAACACCAGCCTCTAAGAAGGTGCTCAGATCAAGGTGAATCACAAGCCTCCTCCTAACCTGAGCGTGACAGAGACGATGACGCTACTCGTGTTCGCCGAGTGATTGATTGCTGTGCACCAGGCACTGTGCTCAGTGTTTTGCAGGCATGTTAATCTTCCTGAGAGTGCTTGGGGGTAACAACGCCACTATTATTCCCCCCAGACACTTGGAATCATGGTCTCTAGCCAAGCCACTGGGCTTCAAATTGGGGATTTGCCGTTTAACACCTGGATGGCCTCAGGCGAGTTAATTAACCTCTCTGTGCTTAATTTTCTCATCTGTAAAATGGGGATAGGACTTCTTTCCTCATAGGGTTGCAGTGGATTCTAAACCAGATTTACCGAGGTCCAGAATTCTAAACCATGGCTGACTCCAGAGCCAGTATTTCTAGTGTGTATTCTGGGTTGCTGGCCATGAACTTGTCATGGCGGGTATCGAGGCGATCTCAAGGGTAGATCACAGGTATGAGGCCAGACACACTCGGGGGCTCAGGACAAGGCTGCTGGAAGAGTGAGTGAGTGTTTTGATGAGAAGCCCTGGGGCAGTGTTTTAGGGGCTGCTTTGCCCATGACTCCCACCTGCCCCCTGTAGGAAATACATTTCCCATCAAATGCATGCACTAGCGTAACTCAACGTTGAGGATTTCACAGCACTTGTGCTCTTACTGTGGGCAATGCATTTGCATACTTTCTATCATTTACCATGCCTTAACAATGCCTGTCATGGCCTTCTGAGCCGACCTTCCGACCTGCACGTGGCCCGAGGCTGCGGTTCAGAGAGCACAGTGTAGGGGAGGCTGCCAGGTGGGCCGTGAGCCCCGGCTGGGGGGCCAGGCGCTCGAGTTTGGATTCTGCCTCCTGTCTCCTATCTGATTGTCACTGGCTGTGTGTTTCCATCGGGAACTCAGGTTTGGTTCCAGAACCGAAGGGCTAAATGGAGGAAAACGGAGAGAGGGGCCTCTGAGCAGGAGCCGGGAGCCAAGGAGCCCATAGCAGAGGTGACGCCACCTCCCGTGAGAAATATCAACTCCCCGCCCCCCGGGGACCAGGCCCGGAGCAAGAAGGAGGCGCTGGAGGCCCAGCAGAGGTGAGGCCGCTGGACCTGGGGCCTGGGGGCCGTGGACGGCACCGCAGACTTAGGCCAGAGCTTAATGTGATTTCCTTCCTTTGCCAGCCTTGGGCGAACCGTGGGGCCCACGGGACCTTTCTTCCCCTCCTGCTTGCCGGGGACCCTCCTGAACACGGCCACATATGCCCAGGCCTTGTCCCACGTGGCCTCCCTGAAAGGTGAGTTCCGGCTGTGCTGGTGGGTGCGGCCTCGTGGGGACGGTGGGGATCGTGTGACCGCCATGGTCTTGGCTCTGTGCTCCTCCCTTCTCCTGTCAGTCACTGCCAGGGCCACAGACGCCGTCAGTTTCCACAAATGCTGTCTCGTTTGACTTCTGTAGGGTCACTAAGCACTGTTCCTCCCGACAGACAGACACAGGGCCCGGAGAGCTTGCTTCAAAAGTGAGCACTCATTGGTCTCGGATTCCTGCCTCCCCTCAGTCCCAGTTTCGGGTTCTAACCTGCAGCTCACGGGGAGAGCACCCTCTCCGGATGCGCAGCGGGCACGCTCGCCTGCCCCTGGAACTCCTGGCGCAGGTCTGAGCCATTAGGGTTTGTGGCCCCAAATTTTCTCTCTTCTCAGTGGCTGTTGTCTCCTGAAGGATGGAAGTTGTTAGGGACGTTTTGTCAGGCCCAGAGAGGGAAGCACTGTGGGGCTGTCCCTCGGGGGGTTCCTGGGGCTCACCCAGTGCCTCCCGGTTCCTAGTCCTACACCTGTTCCTCCAGCGATGGGGTGGGAACGGGGCTGGGCCTGAGTGGGTCTGGGGAAGCCAGCGTTAGCGCTGCCCTCGGGGCTGGTCTGTCACAGGCAGTGGGGGTGCAGGTGCAGGCTGCAGGCTGCTTCTTGATAGTAGAAGTGGGAGAGGGGCCCTGAGGGTGTCCCCTGGTTGTCCTGTGCTAGAGTCTGAGGTCTGCCCTGGACAAGGTCCCCCTCTTGCAGGTGGGTCTCTCTCTCTTCCTCACACACACACACACACACACACACACACACACACACACAGTGTGGCAATAATCTGCATTGCGAATGTGGTTTCTGGAGGCAGCAGGAGGACATGGAGTCCCCCTAGGGGGTGTCCGGGAACGAGGAGGGAAACACATTCTAGGTGTCGGGAACAGCGTGTGCGAAGAGTGCCGGGCGGGGGTGAGGAGGAGACCAGGCTGGTGTAGAGAAGGCCTGGCGCGCTGGGCGCCCGTAGGAGAGTGCCGCACTGCTGGCTGGGAGGGTAGGGAGGCCACGGGCATCGTGGGAGAGGGAGACGGAGCTGGGTTTTTGTCTCCCACGCCATGGGGGTGCTCCCAGCTCGGTGGACCCAGAACAGAAGCTGGGCTGGCAGGGGGGGCTGGTGCCGAGCTGGGCCGCCTGGCCTGAGGGTCCGTGGACACAGACATCTGTCCACCCTTCTCTTCTCCCCTCTCTCCGTACTCCGCTCTGTCCCTTCCCTAATCCCTTCTGGCCGGGCTCTGACCCCGTGGAGCCTGCCCTGTGCCTGCCTCGCTGGAAACACACTTTCCTTTGCTGCTGCTTTTGCTGCCGGGAGCGTGGGGTGCGGGGCCCTGCGGAGGAGGCAGAAACCCGCACTGTGGAAGGAGAGCGAGCTCCGGCCTTACGAGGGCGCTAGTCCCATCCGTGAGGGCTCCACTCATAACTCGGTTCCTCCCGAAGGCCCCAGCTCCGCACACCATCACAAGAGCCCAACACACCACTTTTGGGGGGACACACGCATTCAGTCTCATCTTTTAAATGTTGCCTCTAAGTCTTTGGGCCAAACCGGCACATCCTTGGTCAGACCTGCTGGGGGCTGGTGTCTTGTGACCCCCCACTGGGCTGCGAGGGGGCTCTTCTGCCGCCCCTCCCATCTCTGCATACAGACGTCCTCCCCAGCCCCACCCCCAGCAAAGTGCTCCTCCTTGGCTCATCCTGACACCTTCACGCGCCAGCCCCCACCTGACCCCCTGGGCCCATTCCACCTGACCACCTGACCTCTCTGAGCAGTGGCTTTTTGATCTCTGATGAGCTAAGTTGTGTTGGAGGCAGATGAGCAATTATCGAAAACCTCCTCTGCACTCTGCCAGGCCGTCTTCTGTCGGAGTCCCATTTAATTCTCACGGTCGTGCGGTCGGCATTGTACAAGGACACAGCGAGTGAGTGGAGCTGGGATTGCTCTGAGATGAAGGCTGATGTGGTCAGGGTAGCTTTGCATTCTAGAAGCACCTGACCCCATTGTGGTGGCACTTCTGGAAGTGCGGTATCCTGAGCTGCCAGGCCCTGGGGCTACCTCTGAGTCAGCGCAGCCTTGTGCTAATTCAGGTGGGCTCGGTGGCCCTCAGAGGTGAGCTTCGGGGACTCTGCCCCATGACTCTGGGTGACAGGTGCGTTCTCATTGCACAGCCAGCTTCTAAACACTCCCGGGGGTCAATGCTTGGCTGATTTTCGGAGCACGTGGTGAGTGGTTTGGGGCCAGGACAGCTTTCTGACCCTTGCAGCCCAGTCCTGTCCTCCCACGCTTCCCCAGGCTGCAGAAATTAAGCACATAGCCCAGTCTAAGCCTGGCAAAGGAGTGACCCCGATTCTTTAGGGCCTGGCTCAGGGCTAGGAGCTCTGGGCTGTGACCCCGCCTTCCTCACCTTCCCTGCACCCCAGAGGTGGCTGGGCAGAGCTGCTGGATGAACCGACTCTCCTTTTCTTGGGCCTGCACTCTGCTTCCCAGGGGCCGCTGGCCAGCTAGGGGATGCCTCAGCTGGCTGGGAGGCACTGCTGGTACCGAAGGCACCTAATGGGGCTCTTCTCACAAATGGGAAACTGAGGCTCAGGGAAGGGAAGGCGCTTCCTCACCATCACTGGTTCATCCAGGTGTCCCCTCTGAGGTCGAGAGTGCTCTCCAGGATCCCACTGTGCCTCTGTCCTTGCCTGGCGTCATCAGACACCACGTATTCATTTGCTGCCTTGAATGAGCACCTGTAGGGGCACGATGAGCAGCTTTGAACCACCCCCCACCGCCTTGCTTCTCCCCAGCAAATGAGGACAGCTGTGAGTCCACTGTGGAGGGGTTTGGACTCCCCAAGGGCCACCAGAGACCAGGGCCCCTTCCAGCCCAGAGATCCCAAGCCACCTCTCCAGGCCCGTGGCAACTTGCAGCTGACCCAGAAGAAAGGAATCAAAGCTAATTTCAGGTCCCAGACCCAAACCAGCACTGGCCTGCTTCCTGAGGCTCTGTGGTCTTACTGGGATCACAGGGCCCTGGACCGAAGGCAGCGAATGTCTCTGGGTAGGCCACCGAGGTTCTGGCCTAGCCCTAGGTGCCTCCCAGGTGCGTGGATCCTCCCTGTGACTGTGGATCCAAGCCACGGCTGGCCTGCACTGCGTCGGCACCCGGCCGGGGTGTGAGGCCAACGCAGGGCGCCCAGTGCCGCCGGGCAAGACCAGTTTTGCCAGCGAGCAAATGGAGCCCCCACTGAAGAGTGTGGTGCACAGTTACAAATCGGAGAGCTCTGGCTGAGTGTCCTGGGCTTTTGGTTCTAGGCACGGCTGTGACGGACGTGAAGTCCTTGTCTTATACACAGTGAGACAGCCTCTGGGGAGTTTGTGGGCTGGCTTAGGGGCTGTGGAGTTTGTTGACTTCCTCAAGTAGGGACCCTCGATATTCTTAGGTCCTCTAAAGTAGCTTTATGGGTGTTCACTTACCTGGACAGTCTTTGGCGTTGAACGTTTTCTGAAACAGGAGTGGTCCTGGAAGGCTCCCTGAGCAAGTGGCACCCGAGAGAGGAGGAGGAGAGGCAGGGGCAGGGCAAAAGCGGAGGGATGCTCTTGGGGCCCACGCTGGACTCTCCGAGCACCCTGCCGCACGCCCGCCTCCAGCCTGGGCGGGGTGGACAGCTGGGCTGGCAGCACAGTGACCGCTGCCCAGAACCAGCCTGTGGCTGCTTCTTCCTTCCCAGGGGAGATCCTGTGACAAACTCCGCAGGGCATCTAGGCACTTTGCTATCTTTGGGTCATCGAGGGGAGGCGTGGTCCAGGAAGTAGGAAGGGTGGCAGGTCTCCCAGCTGCTTTTCTGAGCTTTGGCACACAGGCTGCAACATCGACAGCACAGAACTCTGGGTTGAGGCTTTCATAGGAAATTAGAGTGACCAATTTTCATTCCTTGACATCCCTGTTGGGGGCAGGGGCCTCGGGTCGGGGCAGCTAGAGAGCTGGGGAAGCCAGGGTTGGGTGGGAGGTGACCCCTGTCCGTGGAAGCCTGGCAGCTCGGAACCGCCGCAACACGCAGCAAGCTGGGCTTGGCGGTTCCGCCGCAGGCCAGGAGGGCGAGGGCGGGGGAGCCTCACCCTCCGCTGCCGCGTGGTCGTCCTGTGCTGGGCGTACTCTCTGCTGCCAGCTGGGTTTGCGCCAACGGGCTGAGACGCAGCTCTGGGGCCGGGAGCTGGGGTGCCAGTGCTGCAGGCTGGGTGTTGGGGCGTGTGGGGCGGCGAGTGCACGGGCAAGATGCGGCTTCGGAGGTTGGCAACGGGGAGCGGGCAAGGCTGGGAGGGGAGGGCATGGCAGCCCCTGGTGGGCAGGAGGCCACGGCCCTCCCAGTGAGGCTGGCCAGGCAGAGCGCCCAGAGGTTCGGTTGTGGCAGCCCCACCTGCAGGCTCCCCGGGAAGGCCCCTGGATGGGTGCTGGGCTGTGCCTGCCAGGGAGTGAGGCGGCTGCCCAGCAGGGACAGAGCCAGGGAGTGCAAAGCCAGGCACTTGTGGGGGTTTCTCCTTTAGTTAGCGAGTGGCCGACTGGCACAGTGGCTTCCAGCGAGGGCCTGCCCAGTGGGACCCCCATCCTTCCATCCTCCAGCCACGTGAGTCTTGAGCAGGTTGCTTAAGCCCTGGATCTCTGCTGCTCGTCTGCAGAGTGCGGGCCTTGGTCACAATAGGACTGAATTCAAGAGGCCGCGTGGAGAGAACGCGAGGCCCTCAGAGCAGTGTTTGGCACGTGGGGGCGGCGCTGACTGTCGTTAAGTATCTGCCGTTGAACACCAGCTACAGTCACCCGGAGTCCGCCACTCTCATTTCTAGCTGTGGTCCCTGGGTCCCGCCCCCCTTTCAAGGACCCAGTAAAATGTCTACCTCTCTCATTTCTCTAAACTTTATTGGGGCCAAAATTCACCCTTTCCTTGTAACCCCTCCCCCACATTCCAGTTTTTGACAG